GACAGGTGTTATGTCATGTTAATGAAAGTGTCATGACAGTCTTATTCACCCCCCTTCAAATAAAGCGTTACCGTAAATTTTAGTTCACAGCCTTTGTAATTTCAAGTATGAATAAAAAAGAAACATCACTTTCTTCTTCTGTTACCAATTTTGATGCGGATGCCACTAATGTTGGACTTCTTGCGGCCCAGGTATGACAGCAGGATGTTCTGGGGTTTCAGGTCACGGTGGATGACTCCTTTGCTGTGAAGTATGCGCATGGCAGCAGCAATCTGCTGGAGGAAAACCCTCAGTGTGTCCTCTCTCAGAATCCCTTTAGCTTCACAAAGAAAACAGAAAAATTAATTGTTACTCAAAAGTAGGTCCAAAATGTAACTGTTAGTTGAAGCGGATGCATTAACAAATAAAATGCTTCAAATCAGAGTACTAATTTGATTTAATTTTAGGATGTTGAATCAAGCATTCATTGTTAGTAAAGCACAAAACTGATTTCTGGAGTGGTTGAGAATTTTCATGCTTTTTTTATTGTAATGCTTAGAAATGAGAGGAAATGATTACCAAAGAGTATATACAGATAACCTTACATCAGGGGTCACCAACCTTTTTGAGACTGGGAGCTACTTCATGAGTACAGAGTAACACAAAGGGCTACTTGTTTGATACAGACATACATTTTGTTGGCTTACTCTTTATAACAATAATACATATGTATATATGATTACATGTGGTCTGATCATATTATTAGGGGCTATTCACAATAGTTATCAGTAATGATTTACCATGGCAGCTATGGTTAATTGCTATTATGTGACCAGAAGTTCTTAGTTCAGAGTTTTAAGTTTGATTCCCTTTTGGAGCTTTTCTGTGTGATTCTAAATTGCCCACAAGTGACTGACAGTATGGATTGTTGCAGAAGCACCTGCAGCTGGACGGCTATACACACTGCGAGTACCTTGAGATTTTTCTTTAAATAAAAAAAAAGAAGAAAAGAATAGTTATTGTATGCTCTATTATCTAACCCTCTTTACTATTAAAAAAATTGTGGAGAAAAAGGGATATTTTGTGTCAAAACATCTTGTACGT